ACAGTGGGCTGGGTCATCCCACAATCAAGAAGATGCCCCCAGGTCAGTCCAATGGAGGCAATTCATCAACTGAGGTCCCCTCAACACAGGTGTTTCAAGTTGACAACTAAAGGTCTCCACCACAATAGACCTTTGTCAACTTGACACGCAAACATCACCATTAAACCATAACCTTTCATTTCTTGTCTGCAAGATATGATATTAACAATATCACAACATAAGGCAGTACAACCTTAAAAGCCTCACATTCCTTAAAAAATCCAAGCACTTAAAGTTCACAGTCCCTCGGGGCTGGAGAGATGGCTCAGCAGTTAAGAACACTGGTTGTTCTTGGAGAAAACCCAGGTTCGAATCCCAGCACCCACATAACAGCTAACAACTGTCCGTAACTCCAGTTCCACAGAATCCAACAGTCTCATCTGTCCTCCGTGGGCATTGCACAACACAGGTGCACTTACCTATGTGCAGGCAATACACGCTCACACGTTAAAAAAAAAAAAAAAAAAAAAAGTTCAAGGTCTCTTAAAAGTCTCTTAACTGGGAGCCCCTGTAAAATCCAGACCAAGTATTGTCTTATTTCAAAGGGAAGAATCGGGCACACCTAAGCAGAACCTAAGTCCAGCAAAGCAGCTCAAGGCTGGACATCCGGGATTCACTCATGCTCTTCTTGGCTCCAAAGGGTTCTGGCAACTCCAATTCTCTGACTCTGCCTACCACGGCACACATAGCTCATCTTGCAGACCCAGGCCAGGTCCATTCCACACCTATTGCTGCCCTTGGTGGTCGTCCCAGGTCTTGGCATCTCCAAAATGCTGGGGTTTCCACTGAAATTGAGGCTGCACTTTCACCTATGGCCTTTCCTGGCCTCTCAGGGTGCCAAGCCTCAGCTGTTCTCTGTGACCCTTTCACACTTTCAACACCAGAACCATGCAGGAAACTCTTACATATTAAGTCCTGCTTCCAACTCGAGATGAAGCCTCTGGCCCCTTCTGGACCACAGCATCTGTGTGCTGACCATGACAAAATACTTCCCAGAAGATTTCACCACAGTTATGCTGGTCTCCTGTTACTTACAGCTGATTTTTCAGCCCCAGCTAATGAGCATCAATTGTCCCAGTAATGCAAAGGTTTTCAGGGTCTGGTCTCAATCACAGCTGATTCTTCAGCCCCAATTGACCAGAACCCACAGATTCTCAATTTAAAATTATCACACAGGGCTGGGCGTGGTGGTGCACGGCTACAGGGAGACCCTGTCTCAAAAAGACCCAAAAATAAATAAATAAATAAATAAATATATATATATATATATATCACAGGCACAGCCCTGACAGTCTCCGCTTCCCTTTGAAGCTTCACAAGCCAGGCCTCCATCATCTACAACTCTTTCAGCGTAACTGTTCCAAGCTCCTCAGCAACAAACTCTGAGCATTCAATGGCTTTTCCAGCCCAATGTTCCAAACACTTCCACATTCATCCCAAAACACCAAAGTCAGGTCTGTCACAGCAATCCCCTACAATCCTGGTACCAACTTCTGTTCTAGTTTGTTTGTCCCTTGCTGTGACAAAACACTCTGACCACTGCCAGCTTGGGGAGGAAAGGGTTTATTTGGCTTACACCTCCCAGGTCACAGTTCATCTGGAAGCCCAAGGAAGGAACTTGAGACAGGAACCTGGAGGCAGGAGCCTAAGCACAGACTATAGCGGACCGCTGCTTACTGGCTTGCTCCCCTGGCCCTGCTCAGCCTGCTTTCTTATACAACATAGGCCCACCTGCCCAGCGGTAGCACCACCCACAGTGGGCTGGGCCCTCCCACATCACTCAATCAAGAAGATGCCCCACAGACATGGCCACAGGCCAGTCCAATGGAGGCAATTCACCAATTGAGGCTCCCTCTACCCAGGTGTGTCAAGTTGACACTAAAGCTATCCATCACAGTGATCACAGGCCAGCTGGGTTACAGGGAGACCCTGTCTCAAACTTTCCACCCCCGCCTAAAAAAGGAATCTCAGGTGCAGTAAGATGGCTCAACAGGTAGGAGCACTTGCTGCCAATCCTGAGTTTGATCCTGGAAACCCACACAGTAGGAGACAACTGAATCCCACAAGTCCTCTGACCTCCAGGAACACTTTATGGCACACCTGTGCCCCACAATAAATAAATAAAATGTAATAAAAAAAATTAAGACTATCTTTCAGGACTCAGGAGATGTACCCTTGAGTTCAGTGCAGACATTTACACACTAAGTATCAGCATCATTTCTTACAACCCTACAGGTTAAAAGTCTACCCACACCAGGCAGAGTGGCACACACCTTTATCCCAGCCCTCGGGAAGCAGAGGCAGGTGGTTCTCTGTAAGTTCCAGACCAGTTGGGGCTACAAAAAAAATAAATAATCAACAAGAAAGTTAATGAACCTCAAGTTCACTCTCTGTAAAAAAAGAAATAAAGGTGTTAGGCTAAATCAATGATTTCTAACCTGGTATCTTCTGAAATCTAAACCCTCAGCAAGCAAGAGTTATTTTGAGGGTTTTTTTTCCTTTGGTCTTTTTTTTGAGACAGGGTCTCCCTGTAGCCCCAGCTGTCCTGGAACTCACTATGTAGACCAGGCTGGCCTTGAACTCACAGAGATCCGCTTGCCTCTGCCTCCCGAGTGCTGGGATTAAAGGCATGCACCACCATGCCCGGCTATTTAAAAGTCAACACACAAGGGCCAGCACTCGGGAGGCAGAGGCAGGCGGATCTCTGTGAGTTCAAGGCCAGCCTGGTCTACATAGTGAGGACAGCTGGGGCTACAGGGAGACCCTGTCTCAAAAAGACAAAAAAAAAAAAAAAAGTCAACACACAAATCACAGGCTTACCAGCCATGAGGTCTGTACAGATTAAACGGGCCATGCAACCTTGCAGTCCACTGCAACTGTTGATATGTTCGGAAGCCAGTTGAGATCAGGGATAAACCTCAAGAGCTCTAGGCCTCAGGCAAAAAACCTGTTGTCATGAGGCAGCCATCACAGAAACCACCCCCAAGGGCAAGAACCCAGACTATCTGGGTTCAACAACCTGAGTTTTCCTCTGGGAAATGCACAGCAAACACGCTTGTGAAGCAGATGAAAAACTTACCTCCTGACTATGTTCTGCCTGACAGTACAGCAGTCAGTCAGCACTGGTGTGCTTTTGAATAAACTGAAAAACTATTTTGGCTAGACCTGAGGATGCAGTCTGAAATCCTTCAAAACGGGGCTGGAGAGATGGCTCACTAGTTAAAAGCACTGGCTGCTCCTGCAGAGGACCCCAGTTCAAATCCCACCACCCAAATGGCATCTAAGGACTGACTCTAACTCCAGTTCTAAGGGATCTGATGCCCTCTTCTGACCTCCAAGGGCACTGCAGGACACAGGTGTACTTACACACATGCAGGCAATACACTCATACACATAAAATAAAAAATAGATAAAAAGATGACTAGATTAGATAGGTGATTGATAAAATAGATGATTGATAGATAAATGATAGAATATATCGATAGATAGAGCGATCTATCAAATGAGAACACCAGTCTGGAGAGATAGCTCAGTGGTTAAGAGCATTGGCTGCTCTTGCAGAGGACCAGGGTTTGATTCCCAGCACCTACATGGCAGCTAATAACCATCTACAACTCCAGTTCTAGGGGATCCAACACCCTCTTCTGACCTCCAAGGGCATTGCATGACATGGGTGCACTTACCTGCATGCAAGTAATACAGGCATATACATAAAATAAAAAATAATAGGGGCTGGAGAGATGGCTCATTGGTTGACAGCACTGAATCCTCTTGCAGAGGACCTGGGTTCGATTCCCAGCACCCACATGATGGCTATGAACCATCCTTAACTCCAGTTCCAGGGGAATCCGAAGTCCTCTTCTGACTTCCTCAGCACTACATGACATGGGTGCACTCACATACAAGCAGGCAATACACTGATACACATAAAATAAAAATAATAGGGCCGGGCATGGTGGTGCACGCGTGTAATCCAAGTACTTGGGAGGCAGAGGCAGGCGGATCTCTGTGAGTTCAAAGCCAGCCTGGTCTACATAGTGAGCTCCAGGACAGCTGGGGCTACAGGAAGACCCTGTCTCAAAAAGACCAAATAAATAAATAAACAAACAAACAAATAAATAAAATTTTTTTTGTCTTTTTGAAGCAGGGTCTCTCTGCTGTAGCCCCAGCTATCCTGGAACTCACTATATAGACAACGCTGGCCTTGAACTCACAGAGAACCGCCTGCCTCTGCCTCCCGATTGCTGGGACTACAGGTGTGCACCACCACGCCCAGCTAATAAAATACTTTTTAAAAATTAAAAAAAAAGGCCAGAAGGCAGAGGCAGGCAGATCTCTGTGAGTTCAAGGCCACCCTGGTCTACATAGTGAGTTCCAGGACAGCTGGGGCTACAAGGAAACCCTGTCTCAAAAAGACCTAAAAAAATAATAAATAAAAAATTTTTAAATAAAGATGGGGTTGGGGATTTACCTCAGTAGTAGAGTGCTTGCCTAGCAAGCCAAGGCCCTGGGTTCAGTCCTCAGCTCCGGAATAAATAAATAAATAAATAAATAAATAAATAAATAAATAAATATCAATAGGTTAGATAGGTGATTGATAGATGATTGATAGCCGTATAGACGATAGATAACAGATGATTGATAGATCGTTGATAGGTGATAGATGATTGATAGATAAATGACAGACTAGAATATATTGAGCACCAGGCCAGAGAAATGGCTCACCGGTTAAGAGCATTGGCTGCTCTTGCAGAGGACCTGGGTTCGATTCCCAGCTACCACAGGGCGGCTAACAACCGTCTATGACTCCAGTTCCAGGGGATCCGACACCCTCTTCTGACTTCCACGGGCATAGCATGACACGGGTCCATTTACACATATGCAGGCAATACACTCATACACATAAAATAAAAATGATAAAATGTTTTTAAAGCAAAGCCCGGCGGAGGCCCCGCCCTCACCGTCTCCCCGCGGATGCCCTGCACGCCCCTCCACTGCGAGGGCACCGACACCACGCCCAGAGTCTCGTCCAGCAGAGGCGCTGGCCGCCCGGGCCCCTTGACGCCCCCTGCCCGGCCAGCAGCCAGCGCGGGGGCCCCAGCGCTTCCCGCTCTGCGAAGCGACCAGGGCGACAGAGGCATCGCCATGGCGACGGCCCGCCCCAGCGCGCCGGTCCAGCGCTGAGAAGTAACCGTGGCTCCCTGCGCCTCCATGAAGCGGAAGTCCGGGACTGGGTCGTGAAGCTGCCGGCGCCATCTTTGAATCGGTTACACCTTCTTTCCCTAAAGCCCAAGGTGGGGGACGGGGGAAGAATTTTTGTCAGTCCGTACGACAGGCACGAGCGGGTCTGGATATCCTATTTCCCAGAGGCCACTTCTGCTTCAGGTGCTGCTCGTCCTGGTGGAAAGAGAAGTGCGGAAATGAGGCAAGGGCTCCATGTTCAAAGATGGCGCCGAGCGGCTGTGTGTAGAGGCCAAGGCGTGGGCTGCACAAGGCTGGAGCCTGGCTGCCGGGCGGCCAGTGCTGCTCACCGAGCTAATCACTGCGCCACTTGAGTTGGCAGCACCTCGCATCGAAGTGGTAGTCCCCTGACCCTCAGTTCCTGTTTGAATGCAATAATGGAAAATAGTCATCCGTACATCCCAAGCAGGGTTGGATGGGTGAAAGGCCCAAATTAGAAAGTTTACATTTAAAAAAAAAAAAAAGACAAAATAATAAAATGCTTGTTAAATTGAACAAAATTGGAGACACAAGCACTGGGGCTGAAGGTGAGCTCAGTGCCCTGGATTCAGTACCCCCACCCCACACACACACACAAGGGCATAACTACCAATTGAGTGCCTACAATGTCAGGCGGAGCCCAAAGTATTCCGAATGTTTCTCTTACTAAATCCTCACCCTGCAGAAGCTTGCTGCTTGATTGGTTAGTTGACTGGTTGGTTTTTCAAAAGCTAGGGATTGAACCCAGGTTTCCTGCATACAAAGCAGGTGCCATTACCAGTGAACTACACCTGCAGCCCAATTGTTATTTACACATACTTGAAGGTGCTGATGGTCAGATATGAAACTGTCCCAAGTCACCCAGTAAGATACCACAGGTGGCCTGCCTGATTTCCAAACCAAGTCTTGAGCCTCTAGGCAGTAATCTACTAGCTAAGTCCTCTGGGCCCATTGCTTCCTATCTCAGACTTGGAAACCTGCCCTGGTCTGGTTCCCAGTGCACCACCCAGGGACAGGATCCTCCTCACCAGCACTCTGTTCCAGCCAAGGCCTTGAGGGCTGATTAGTAATACTGGGATTGGGGAGTAGAATAGAAAAATCTTCCTAGGAAGTACAGCTAGACAAAAGGCCCTCTTAATCCCAGAAAAATTTGCAGACATCATCAAGGATTCCAAAACTTACATTCAAAAAGAAGTTCAAGAGACAGGAGAGATGGCTCATCAGTTAAGAACACTGGCTGCTCTTGAAGAAGACATGGGTTTGATTCCCAGCACCCACGTGGCAGCTAACAACTGTCCATAGCTCCAGTCCCAGGGAATCTGACATCCTCTCCTGATCTCTGTGGGCATTGCAGAACACAGGTGCATTTACATATATCCACATGCAGGCAATACACTATACTCATACACATAAAAAACTAATTACTGATAGGCAGTCTGAAAAGAAAAGAAGATTTGTTACATTTGATGGCCACGATCCTGTGGATAAAATTGTACTGCAAAAATATCACACCATCAGTCGTCATAATGCAGAAGTACAAAAGGCCTTGTCTGGACAAGAAATGCAGGAAGTCCAAAAGTCTAGGGGTGGAAGAGGAGAAACTTTGGTTTGGGGGGGTCCTCACCATGGTGGTAGAAATTTTGGACCAGGAGCAGGAAGCAACTTTAGGGGGTTCTGATAGCTATGGAAGGGGACATGAATTTAGAGATGGCTATAATCGGTATGGTGGAAGACCTGAAGGTGGCAATTTTGGAGGTAGCCCTGGTTATGGAGGAAGAAGAGGAGGATACGGTGGTGGAGGACCTGGATATGGCAACCATGGTAGGAGCTACAGAGGTGGTTATGACAACTATGGAGGAGGAAATTTTGGAAGTGGAAATTACAAGGATTTTGGAAATTATAACCAACAACCTTCTAACTACGGTCCAATGAAGAGTGGAAACTTCGGTGGTAGCAGGAACATGGGGTTGGGGGGACCATGTGGTGGCAGGAACTATGGTCTTGGAGGAAGTGGAAGAGGTGGAGGTTATGGTAGGAGATGCCCATACTGAGCTTCTTCCTACTTACCATGGGCTTCACTGTGTAAATAGGAGAGGATGAGAGCTCAGACATAACAGAACAACTTCAGGTTATGGAAACATCAATGTTAAGGACACTTTTGTCTCAATTATGCATAAATGTGCCTGAACAGGGCAGAAGCTGAAAGCCATTTTGTGAATGGATTGGATTATTTAATCACATAATCACATTGCCTTACTGTGGAGGAAGGACTGTAAAAAAATGCCTTTGAGGGGCTGGAGAGATGGCTCAGCAGTTAAGAGCACTGACTGCTGTTGCAGAGGACCCAGGTTCGATTCTCAGCACTCACATGGCAGCTACGAATCATCCTTAACTCCAGTTCCAGGGGAATACGAAGCCTTCTGACTGCCTCGGCATTGCATGACATGGGTGTGCTCACATACATGCAGGCAATATACTCATACACACAAATTTTAAAAATTAAAAAAAAAACAAAGAAAAAAATGCCTTTGAGACAATTTCTTAGTTGTTTCTTTTATGGTCTTTTTGAGACAGGGTCTCTCTGTAGCCCCAGCTGTCCTGGAACTCACTATGTAGATCAGGCTGGCCTTGAACTCATAGAGATCTGCCTGCCTCTGCCTCCCAAGTGCTGGGATTAAAGGTATGCACCACCACGCCTGACAGTTGTTTCTTTCTAATGGTCTTTGTGAGAGTGCAGACTCATTCCTCCTTTGAGAATGTTACATTTGTAAGTTTCAGGTGACATGTGAAACCTTTTTAAAAATTTTTCTCAGCCGGGTGTTGTGGCACACGCCTTTAATCCCAGCACTAGGGAGGCAGAGGCAGGCAGATCTCTGTGAGTTCGAGGTCAGCCTGTTCTACATAGTGAGTTCCAGGCCAGAATGGGCTACTGGGAGACCTTGTCTCAAAAAAAAATTTTTTTTCTCAAAGTTTTAAAAAACTGTTAGGATCATGGTGTAATAAGATGTTTTTTCTTTAAAATATTTAAGTGCATGTAGAGTTAAGAAGCTGTTATACATTTATGATTTAATAAAATAATTCTAAAGAAAAAAAGTATTAAAAAAGTAAAAAGTTTTTAAAAATTAAACAAAAGAAGGGCTGGAGAGATGACTCAGTGATTAAGAGCACTGTCTGCTCTTGCAGAGGACCTAGGTTCAATTCTTAGCACCCACATGGTGGTTAGTAACCATCTGTAATTCAAGTTTCAGGGGAATCCAACAACATTGTATGACACAGGTACACCTACCTACATGAAAGCATTACACTCATACACATAAAATGAAAATAATAATTTTTTTTTTAAGTTTAAGGCCATGGAAGTGAAAAGTTCTGGATTAAAGCCTGGAGAGAGATGTGTCCTCTTCAACAGGCCTGGTACCAGCCTAGCCTGCTTTCCTTTCCTAAGGAAAAGACCTGCTTCACCAGGCCAAGAAGGAAAATTTCAGGAAAAAAAAAAAGTAGTTTGTGGCATTAAATAACCACAAACAGCCCAATAAAGATAAGGCTGAGAATATAGCACTTTCCAAGCATTTGGGAGTCAACTCTGTGTTCAACCTTAGCAGGTATAGAAGTGGGAAGGGAGTATGGGGTGTGGGGTGGGGTGTGTGTGTGTGTGTGTGTTTGTATCACCAGAAAATGGGTCAATCACTGAAGCTGGCATTTGGGTAATGTCTGGTGCCTTGTTGACAACGTCAGTAAACTAGTAGGGACAAATGCCTAAAGGATTTAGTGGAGAAAGTAATGGATTTTGCTGGGAGACTAAACACAGAAAGCAAATAAGTGCATCAATCCAATTTGACAATAATCTAGTCTCCTCTTCAACCTAGAAACTCCACTTCTGGAAATTCTCCACCAGTCAATAATTACAGATTTGCACAGACACTGAGCTCCAAGGATACTGAACAACAGCTCATCACTGATGATATTAAACTTTTATTTATTTATTATTTATTCATTCATTTATTTATTTTTTAAACTGGGTGTGGTAGCCAATGCCTTTAATCCCAGCACTCTAGAGGAACAGGCAGGCGGATCTCTGTGAGTTCAAGGCCAGCCTGGTCTACATAGTGAGTTCCAGGACAGCTGGGGCTACAGAGAGACCCTGCTTCAAAAAGACCAAATAATAATGATTATATATATAGTGATGAGGCATCGTGAGTTACCTGGACTCTGTTACACTTTCTCAATTGGACCACTGTAAAATGAGGGTAAAAGCATAAACAACACACCATGAAGGCAGTATGGCTGTATTATACGCAAACAGTATTCACAAAATCAGTTAGTGAGTTGAATTTGGCCACTTAACTGTGCTTTGCAGACAGACTTTTGCTTTAGAGTCCCATTTGGTAGTAATACAAGGAATATCTTAACCAGAAGCCCATAGATGGTTCGGTGGTGAAGAGCACTGGCTGTTCTTGCAGAGGACTTGGGTTCAATTCCCAGCACCCACATGATAGTTCATAATTGGCTCTAACTCCTGTTCCAGTGGATCTGATGCCCCCTTCTGGTTTCCACAGGCCTTGCACACATGTGGTACACTTACATACATGCAGGCGAAACTCACACACATTAAATAAAAATAAATAAAATTTAAAAAATAATTAGAATGTAATAAACAAAACAAAACACAAAGATCCCTCCAGATGGTTCAGCAGATAAAGTTACTTTGAAGCCAGCAAGCCTGATAACCTGAGTTTGATCCCTGGAACCTATGTAAAGTTGGAAGGAGAGAACTGCTTCTCAAAGATTGTCCTCTGACCTCCACACAGGCTTTATGACAAACATGCCCATGTACATACATCATACCCAGACTAATAATCATATTAATAATAAAATGTAGGTGGTTCAGGCCTTTAATCCCAACACTTAGGAGGCAGAAACAGAGGGATCTCTATGAGATTGGGGCCAGCCTGGTCTACATAGAGAGTTCCAGGTCAGCAAGGGCTACAGGGAGACCATGTTTCAAA